ATAGCTTTAAGATTTAGCAAGTCCATATTGAGAATTAATTTGGTCAAAAAATGAGCTTGTTGCAATCAAATAATGGTGTAAAAATATTTGATTGTTTTGATAAACATTGATTGTATATTATGAATAATATCTATAGTATATATTGAATACTAGCTTATCGATAACATGTGAAGATGGATGATTAAGTTGGAGATGTAAATTGCAAAATAGTGTAGCTCAATCCATTACAAAAGTTGAATAACATGACTAATATCTAGAAAAATATATTGAATATCATATTATTGGTAACATGTATGAATAAGTTGAAGATATAAATTGCAAAATTGTGTAGCTCTATCCATTACAAAAGTTGAGCATGTAACCCTAGCAAAAGCAAGCAAACAAACAATTCATTTGATTTGTTATGCTTGTCACAAATATGAAACTATCTCATGTCATGAAGTTGTAAATCTTAATTGTGACAATTGGAATGTTTTACATCTAGTTGTGAATCAAATAATATACAAAAGAATAAATAAAATTGACATATATAAAAAAAAGTTCCTTTTTTCAGGAAAAACAAACCAATTTTATGTCAAACTAAATCAAGGCTATGTCAAGTCAAGTCAACCTTTTTATATTATAAGTAATATCAATCTTGCTTAATTTCTTGAATTTTTTGACATTGCAAACTGTAAAAATGGATATGAATATATCAGACTATCAATTATCTTATCTTTACATACGATATCATTCTATTGTGTTTGTTAAACCTAAGACTAGTTCATTTTGGATTATTAAAAAATATAGGTTAAACTTATTTCTGAATCTTTGCGCAAAGTAATCAAAGATTGACAGTTTTTATAGCCCTTATGTTGGATTTTTTATGCATTTTCTAAATTCAACACTTCTGTTTGTAGATAACTGAACCTGAAAGTTTGAAATCTTCTAAAAAATTAACCTTATATGTATTTGAGAGTTTTTATTATGTTAATAACTGTTGATGTTTTATATTCAAAAAATTTATCTTTATCATTTATTTTGAAGAGACATTTTTTAAAAATAATTAATTGTTAGAAATCAAACCATACATATCTCTCAAGATTGGATATCAAATATATTCTTTTAAGTATGCTATATAATGTTGATATATATAAAATATATTGATAACATAATATTTTACAAACATTGCTGGAAACTATCAATTTAAGCTTGCTCATGATTTTTTAATTGCAAATCAGAGTCAAAATTTGAGTTGAAAAATTTTATGTCGGTTTTCTTTATATTTTAATTTTATTTATTTATTTTTCTTTACTTTAATATTTTATTTCCTAAAAAAATCAAAAGATCAGATTTTCTTTTTCTTTGAATTACTTTTACAAGAATTATAAATTTTGTAAACTAGATAAGTGATTGTCTTGATAAGACATTTGAAACAATCCATGCGTGAGTATAGTGAAATCAATTAATTATGACACAATCATATTCTTAAATTAACACTTAATATTGATGATTATGCATTTTGACTTGTGATACAATTCTAATAATTATTTATAATCAGAAAATTCTCTCAAGAGTATAACATTGCTTTGGAATAGATGTGAAATCAATTTCGGACATAAATATTCACTAAGACTTTGAGATTTGTTTGAAATAAATGTGAATGCCCAGAATCACTTACGATATAATCAATATAAAATGTAAAATGATATCAATTACAATTAAATCATGTGATACCAAGATGGATATTGAGGGGGGATGGATTGATTGGTAAGAGTTTAAGGTGTGAGGTTTTAGTGTATTATGATGATGAGATTGTGTGGACCACACTCAGTTGTGCTAAGAAACTTGAAAATCCTCTCGGATTGAGAAAAAAATGAGAGAAATAGAGAGGCATTAGAACAAGAGTAAGCAAAGAGATTACACCGATTTGGAGCACTTAGCTTTGCATAACCCATTCCAATTAATAAAAGGTTTGACTTTGATAATTCTAGTGGTTTGATCTTCGAGGGAGAATGGATGTTAATGGCATCAAGATTAATATTATCTTATCTGCAGGAAGAAGATCATGTAGACATCACATGAATTGTTTTTACTCCATATGATAACTTAATTGAAGATGCGATTGAATTTGAACGGGAAGACTCAATGTACAACTCGGGGAGGAGAGTAACTACTCTCCTTCAGTATTTGCTCTCATAATGACGCAGCGATTGGCACTTTGGAAGCTTCTCCACAAAACATAAACATACGAGAGGAAATCGCAGCTGTAGAGTCGTACACCATGAAAAGTTACATTATCCTTGAAATCTACAGCGTTTTCAAGCGGAACATGCCAAGCGGCAACATGATACGGTTGCATGCTTTCTCCTCTTGCTTATGTGCTAGACTCCACCTCCATAGACTTATACTACGTTTCTGAGAGAGTCCACCTACACATATACAGAGCGGATGAAACTGCCTCTTTCACTCGTTCGTGAATCTTTATGAAGCTTCAGAGTCACTGCTGGCATAGTTTCATATGCAGTGCCTCCAGAATTGGACTTCGAGTAACGAGCCAACTGTCTTATATAACCATGACGGATATCTTTAATCTCCTAGCACAAAGGTATCAAATTCATTTCATCGTTCTCTGATTCTAATTGTGCTCCTCGGATGACTCTGTTGGCAGAGGATACACTTGAGATAATCGTGCCCCATGGATCCGCCAAAAGGGTTGTCGTGTTCTTTGCTGTTTTCTTGCACAGAAGCAGGTCTCGAAATGTGTTCATGGAGATACTTCTTTTCACATCGTTCTGTATGAGGTAACAGAAGAGCAACTTCATTTACAGCACCAATTTCACATCCTTATCAGACAAATCCCCCCAAAAAATCGTCTGATTCAGCTACATCCATCTTCTCTCATCACTCACTTCTTGCAAGACTAGAGACAACACAAGGAAGAAATCCTTGCACCAGTAAAGACAATTGTTCTGACCAAATAGAGATTAATCTTAATGTTTATTGAAACCATGATGTAAGTACTTATAACAAATCATCCAAGTTTTGTGGAATCGATATTCTCCAGACTCTGTACATAGCTCGAATCAGATCTCTATGCTGAGATAATATAGGGAAATATTGATATATTAATTCGCTGTAATTGTAATTTCACTAGAAGTAGTTTATTCATCTCTCTTTTCTCCCTTCCAATTATTATAAATATAATCATTCATCTCAACTATTGAATTCAATATTTTATAATATTGCTCATTTTCTGAAGTCAAGATAATCAGTGTAATCATTACTCACATCTAACCTCAATGTTTCTAAACACTATATATATAGCATGTGTTGGCTGAAAAAGCCCACAGCATCTGATAGTTTTGAAGCTTAAGATTTGTTTACCAGCCATTGAAAAGCAAACAAGTCGATTACTTGTAGAAGTGATAGTTTTGCCTCGGCTGTACCTTCCAAACCTTGTTTATTCTCTTCGTAGAGGTCTTTATACTCTGATACCATATTTTAGTCATAATATTTGATCAGGTTGTTGACATTCATTTCCTAACTTATGACATACTCTACGGTAAATTACACATCCGTACAGGATAATCTCGATAAATCCCGTCTTCCTACGTATCATTGAACAGAGTGTTGAGAAGTTAATGTATACGTGACCGTTCCATAATAGAATTTCGTAATTGAACGAGTGTTTCTGATCACTCATGAGTAGAATCAGCCTGGATGTCAGGAGCTAGAGCTGAAGTGGATTTTGAGATAGCAATTGTGGTGTATTTTATCATATGCTCTTTTACCTGTATTACTGTAAGAAGTACCAACTTCGTGAGTCGCTGTTGTACTCTTCGTTTGCCAACCGATCATACTCAGGGCGAAAAGGCCATTCATCTAGTCTACTGACCAACTTTTATGTCACCAACACTTTCACAGGTTTTTATGGCAGTAACTGAGGTGAACCCATCTTCGTAGAATGCGTCATAGTTCCTTTTGATATCAACGATGAATCAAACCACGGTATACTGGGAGCGTCCAGTGTTTAACCATGTCGTTGTCCTGGTTTCGAAGGACTGTAACCCCGACAACATAACCTTCAAAGATAGGCTCTAAAACTCTTACGACGGCCTGTTGAATTACTTTGTCCCGGGGAGATGCTTTAGTAAGGGGCGGCGCTCGCCCGGTAAACTTTTCCGGCTGCTTAGTACTTATAAATTCCCTTGTCAAACCATAAGTTGGTAACCATGATCCCCTCTTATCACATTCTCTGACAACCTGGTATTGTTGATGTCTATATACTAAGTTTCAGTCCAGTGAATATTCTTAAATTTGCTGAAACATTCATATTTAAATTTGACACGATTAACGCGGAATAGGAATACACAAGTAGCCGACAGAAGTTTCGATTCCAGCATTCATTTTCGGCATCAAGCTGTATTCCTGATTTCAACATGTTCCAACTGCATCATTGAATGGTAATAATTTGACGAGTTATCTCTGCGAAGAGTTTATATACGCTTGCTCTATATTTCATATAAATTGACTTTCTTGTAAATATGGCGAACATGGGAAGTCTGTATGCTCTAACCTATCTGGCATCTCATGAATGTTGCCCACATTACTTAAAACTATGACAGGTAAGACACATGGTATTGATGTGCAACGTAGGAAGGAGCAAACATAACGAGGGTAAGTATGATGTCACTGTCGGATTGTCTACTTATGTTCAGTCAGGTTTACCAAGATTTGTTAAAGACTGTAGATTGCGCTGAAATGTTAACAAATATGAATCTAAGCACTGAAAATTAGTGACTGCTCAGTTCACTCCCAGACAAGCTTACCAGCTCTCGATAATGGCTTCCAAGGCACACTATTTCCATCCATTTCGAGAGACAACAAATGATGCCAGTGAGTCAGGGTCCACAAAATGGACATGGTCATGATACACCAAAACCAGCGGAATGACGTCCTAATTCCTCTTAGGGCGGATAATGCTGTCAGAGGATGTCTCAATTTTCAACCAAAAGACTCACGAATGGGTAGCGGTGTACTTCAAGGGAGGAGATCAGGCGACACTCAACTAAGAACGGGGTCATAACGTCAAATATGAGACAGGGTTTCAGGTGTCGTCTTCTTGTTTGCGTATCGCGATAAGTAACACTACATAGTTCCACACGAGGACTCTACATTTCTTCACTTCCGAGTGTGAAGAAAGATTGTGGTCCGATGGACAGAGGCTTGTACGTTGTACGTTAATTGTCTTTGATTTTAGGAACTGACGATGGTAAGAAGTTCAAATTTCGTGAACAGTATTCCAGTTCGACTCGATTTTAAAAGATTGGCTGGGCAGTTTGGAGATGCAAAGTTGACAGAGCAGATGAACTAATACTCACAGGTCGCCTCGCTTTACTCCAACGGTGTAGAATCTCAGAAAGGAGGCCCCACTGGCCCTTGATCTAAGAGGAGCTATGTGATGGATGGTATGCTAGGTAAATGACACTGTTAACTTGCTTCCAACGTTTCAGACAAATCTCATAATATGAAAAGCAATCTCTGCACTAAGTTGACCCCTTGCCTTGCATGAACATGGAACTAGTGCAAAACTAAGAAACTGATCACAACACATGAAACCCAGTATGAGAACCCAAGGAGAAAAAGAGAAAGGACTGATCGTATCTTATCTGCGCAGTGGTTATTCTTGGAATGTTTTTGAAGAGAAACCCTCTGTACGTACGTAAGTACGATGGTGTACCTCCGAACGGAACGGCCCCATTGAAAGCAACATACGCCCTACAGCAGACATCTTCCAAGTAATCGTTTGCCAGTGCAGAACACATCACTAGTAGCAGAACACTTTCTGGAACAGAAAGTGACGACAAACCAGCTTGGTGACCAACGAAGCAGATGAAGTTCCAAACGATGAAATCAAAGACGAGCAAAAAAATTTCACATACAGGAATAGCTTGTGTCCTGTGCGGCTGCCCATTCGCAGTTTCTCTCCTGATCAAGTTTGACACCTACAGACAGCCTTTAAACTCAAAAGAGAACCTTCATACATTGTGCTCAGGTACACAACAAACGAGGAAAACCTGTGCGTAGTTAAAACTGCCATAGTGGAACTATGACCTTAACTGTGTTTCTAAAATACTATGTCTAGCAGAAAGTATATCTAGCCAATAAAACCAAGCAGATGCCTGTCATTGTAATGGAAACGTAAGATCGCACGTAGGTGAAAAGGTGAAGAAGTATGAACGGAGAACATTGAGGTACAAGAAGGCTACGTTAATCTCAGATAGTAAAACAATACTCCTTCCGGCCAGAAACTGTCTAACATCAAGCAGACATGACAAAAATGCTACCATGCAACGGATGTTTAAAACGTGCCCTGCCCAACCGGGTGATCAAGTAAAGCACTTTCAGCGCTCGTAGATTGCAGGGAGCTAACCAAGGCGAAAAAAAATTGGCAGCTCCAAATGTGCGAACCAAGGGACTTGACTGTACTATCAAATGAGCATTGTACAAAACGTGTAGAAATGAGCACCTCTCCAGCTTACTGGATGCCACAATGTTCGTCCAGGGTAGCTCAAAATTTCAAATGGCCGTAGTACTGGGTTCTCATCTTCACCACTGTGCTCTTGGATAGTTCATCCGGATTCATTCGATTTCACGCATACAGGAGACTGGTACCCCATTTTATCAATAGCGGTCGTATCGATCATGTCGCCTGTAGTGCATAGAAACTCAGCGAATTTAGTTTTTATAATTGCACCAAAAAGTGTGATACGACTCCAGCACGACGACGATTTGGGTTGCTCAGTAATGAACCAAAGTTTTCTTATTATAGACAAGGTCTAAAAATAACTATAATCTTGAGCACAACAGGAAATAACAATCGTGAAATATAAACGAACCACAACAAACAGGTGCAATTTCCACGATCCTTCGACCCGGAAAGGACGCTAAGGAACTTCATATTCACTCAAAGCATGCAGTGCACTAAGATATAAAAATAGAAAGCAGAACTAAACAGCAGATCTTGAAATGACAAAGCGACGAAAAAACTCGAATGTGTCATTGCTCCCCAAGTTTACAGAAGTCTCATACCTGTGACGATCACCCCTCTCTTTCTCTCTTGATCGCTCTCTGGATCGTGATCGAGACCTGTAGTTACAATTCATACTTAGCACAAGCAAGCTCATGAAGTACAAAGAGACGACAAGAAGACTTAAGATGGCACAATCCAGCACCTTCTTCGTCGAGAATCGTAGTCACGCTCGCGATCGCCACGGTCACGTCCACGATCTCTGTCTCGATGGCTCTCTCGATCTCTTATCCTATCTCTCGGCCTGTAATCACGTTCCCGGTCCTTCTCTCGTTCCCGTTCCCTCTCTCGCTCACGTTCTCCATCCTTCTCTCTCTCAACGTCTCTGCTCGTTGCTCGGACAGACCTTTCACGAGATTTCTCGCGGGATCTAAGATGCACAATGTACATATTATTCACCAACACAGAATTAATCAAATGCAGGTTCAAACCTTAAACACGTATCTTGTTAAGAGAGAATCAAATAGACTGCAACCATCATGGGTGACTTACTCACGTGATCCTGCCTAAGGGTCCAAGCTCCTCCAGATCAAGGTGAGACAATAATCAAAGGGACCAGATGCCATGCGCCACCATATGGGGCACAGGGTTACAGATCATATCATTCTCCTGTCCAAATAAACAGGTGTCAAGCCATGGCCCCTCAGTCAACTGTCCTCATCCCTCTACCTGAACCCATGCCCAGGCTGCCCATCAGCTCAATTCACTCGACCGACTCCAGCTGTTATGACCCTCTCACCTATGAGACAACATATACAAAATTACATCAACACGGCCTCAGTGCTCCCCAGCTCTTCCATAAAGCTTAACTTACTTTTCATCATCTCCGTCAACCTCCGGCTTCCGGACTTTCATTCTTTCCTCCTGCAACCACGAACCAAGAACGTACACGATTGTTCTCATCAATACATCAAGAAATTACAAATAGCAATCTGAAAATATAACCATCAACTAATTTCTCCACGGCTACCGCATATGATCTGTAATCAGCCTCTCATATGAAACATAATCAGATTATACCGATAGCTTTACGAAATTTAAATAAAGATGTGACAAACGGGGATGACTAACCGGACTGGTAGAAAACAATTTAACAATCAACCAAAACACTTGAAGTCCTACATTGTGCAAGAAGACTGGCATCCCTTCAAATTAGGATCCTATTGAATACTTCCTTCAGCTAGAGCACAACTAATACTCCTCAGCTGTTACCTATGTTGCAGAACAATTTTAGCACATACTGCTATCTACGCTTCAGTAGACAGCGGGGAGAAGGTGTTGAAACATGCTACACCTAAGCAAAGGTCAAAACAACATCACAGTATTAATTACTGGCTGCTCACACCAATTTGGGAACTGGTGGTAATTTGACAATCGTAGGCAACATGTGGAGGTGTCACCCTTAATCCAATTGGATGATTGAGTTTACAATGTATGCGTTAAGGACTTATTCAAGGCAAAAACCACATGAACGTATTTGGAATCGCGTCTAGAAGAGGACGAGTAATGATATGTACAGAGTAAGAGTCAATGCAATATCAAAGCAAGTTTTGCCTCCCCCCGTTATGAGAAGGCTCATGTAAGTTTGTTCAGACAGAACAATAAGGTATTTTCAAGGTTGGTACTACAGCATAAAGAACGATGGCTTTACATAGATGAAGGTAAAGGCCAGCAGTAAACTCTTCTAAGATCTTGTCTCCCAATCACTTATAAAACTAAAAACCGCGCAATAAGAAAATTCTTAGGAGATGTTTGATCAGTCTTTCTCTACTATTATACCATTGATGTTCTTCACTGTGGCTGTAAGCAGACATATTAAGGTTCGATCTTAAAAGTATGAACAACGGATGAAATTCAAGGACGTGAGAAAGGTGCTAGAACAACAGCATAGAGAAACTCATGCACGAGATTATCCTCTACCCAATCCACAAGAGTACTCAACAACCAAGAAGGATGAATCTTACAAAAATGCATGGACGAAGTTGGGTAAAACAGATAGACCGAAGAAGAATTCAGTGGGGACTTGGCTACTGAAAGGGCAGCCCCGTAATGAAACCATAGATATATATGCCTGACAATGAATAAGAATGAACATGTAAGTTAACTTCAGCCAGGCAGTCCGTCTGGCTTTGAAGTTTAAGTTTTAGACAAAGTTCTTTCAATTCATACACTGCTAGCCAATGTCATATATAGACACAACATGTGCTAGTGTGCTACTTTGAAGGCAGTTTATCACGTCCACGATGCGTCTCGCGAGAAGTAAAGAATCCATTTCCAAGATTGGCTTCGGTATCATTCGATAGCTTAAGACTAACTCATTCCATAGCCTACCTACCAAAAGTCTTATCAGTTACGGAGAAACAGGAGTCAACTGCTGTTGACAGACCGAAGAAGTCTTCCAACGCCGAAGATTTAGCTACCAGGTACCATCTACAATTGATTTACTGTCAATAACGATTACAAAGCTAAGCTTGAACCAACCAAACTATAATGATGAAATTAATTCAAGTCTTCAAAGTACTTCTTCGAACCGGTTTCATCACTCAATGAAAGTTGTACGTGTCACGATTAAGCACTAAAAATGAAGGTCCTCAGAAAAAGTGCTGTTCAATTGAATCCAGGTGCGTCACTAATCTCCTGACAATTGAGTAACAAGAATTATTCAAGTGGGCTTGAGATGGCATTGAAATCAACACCTGCTGGGGTTACTGTGAATAGATTACACGTCCTACTGCCACACACAAAAGCACTGTGGATTTCATTTGGAGACAACAATCGCACGACGACTCACAACCAAGAATAACCGAAAGGAGGACTTACCCTAAGATCGACAAGCTTTTCGCGTATCTGCATGTAGCCAAGGTGCAGTTTTCCTCCAAAATGATCAGCTAGCCTCCGATCACTGACAGAAAAAAACACCGTGTAATATAATTAGAGCCAGTAAACATGAACTCAGATGTACAAGTGGTACCTCATAATAAAGTCCTACAAATGGCTATCAAAGTGAAGAACAGAACGATAGCTACATCTAGCTGTCATACCAAAATTCTAAGCCAGCCTCTGGTCACTGAAAATCGAAGGGCAATCTATATATTCTACTTTCAAGACATGATACATGAACATAGGGATTAGTGAATTATTGTTAAGTCCTCGTAATGGCCGTCAAAGTGAAACCATTTGACCTGAATTACTCTCACTTTCATACCTATCATATATACTCAGAAACGCTCCACATATGTCGCAAACACGAAGCTTCTGGTCAGCCTGCACGTTCCAGTTCAATTTTTTCCTGAATTAGTTCAACTCCATGCTGAAAACTGATAAAAGTATAAGGCTGGACAAGATGAAGGCGGGCAGGGCGATGAGACAGAAATGCTTACAATGCGGACATCAGGTGCAAGCAATTTCGCTGGATCAACTGGTGCCTCCTGCCGTGCTCCGAGCTGAAAAGAGAAAGGAACTTTTATAATAAGATATCCTTGGAGACAAGTCTGAAGACAAACAAAACATTCTGCAATTTTGGTATTTAAAAAACTTAAGTACTGACTAATCGTCCACCTTTTTCAAAGCTTCAGCTTCCTCCATAGCTTTTTGGGCCTCATCGACCATGCCCAGCTCCCCTGCACCCCAAATACGAGGAAATGTCTAACTGATGAGTATTGCTATGCATCTCTATTACATGAACAAATAGGTCAGATTCAAAAATAGCAATGACTATCAACCCGACTGGTGCGGCCTATGTATCGACTAGACGCAACAAAAATATCACCGCTAATGATGTATAGCCCAACATGGGGACAACTTATTCGCCAGTTTATTACATGGTCCGCCTTTGTACAAATAATGGACGATCTGACTGTAAAAACGTTCTCAAATAAGAGAGTTGAAAAGGGGTACCAAGTTCCTCGGCCTTCTTCAGCTTTTCCTTGATCATTTCTTGTGTTCTTGCATCAGGTGGCAAGGGAACCAAAGTTGGCAGTGGTGCCAAAGGAGGTGGATTTGGAAGAGGTTGTGGCATTAATGCCCTGTCTTTGTTGAAAGCCTCTAGAAGAGACATGGCCTGCACGGTGTATCAAATTCTGCTCAGAAGACTATTGAGAACTCTAAAATACAGTTCCATCATTATTCCAAAAATAACCTGATGAAAGTTAAGCTATTACTTACTTGTCTGTCGGCTCGCTTCGACCGCAACTCTTCCACTTGTTCCATCATCCTGATTTTGTCATCGGTTCTTCCTTCTAAGTCTGCACTCCCAACCATAAACAGGCAAATGCGAAAGTTCCATCTTAAGATAATTAAGAATCGTCATCTTCATTTTAAAATATTGGGGTAAGGGACCCCAGGAGGGTAAAAGTTGGAAAAAACACATACCGCAGAAGTATAGACGATAAACTTGATACAAAATACCACCAACATCGCAACGCATAGGTTCAAGATGTGATACCTACCCATGTATTCAGCTTCCTTCAGTTTCTCCTTGATTTGTCTTGTGTACTCGACTGCTTCTGCTGACTGTAAGACAAATTTCAAGGTAATGTTACCTTCGTTTTCAAACAACAGTAAACAACTATCTGCTGCAAAATAAAGAACCTGACACGAGTTACAATCCCAGCTGTGTGCATTCATTTGTAGCTGTCTTCGAAAAGGAAGAAAAACTAGTACCTTCGTCACTTCGGAAACAGCAATAGCCGTTGCAGCACCCGCATCGTCATCTTCGAGCCTCTTAAGAGCCCGAGCTATTTTCCTATCACATTCTACAATATGCTTCTCCAAGCAATCCTCAAGTTCCCTGTCGTAATTGTCTTTACCCTTAGCCTTTGCCTCTTCATATCTAGCGAAAGCCGAGTTAAGAACAAAACCTTGGTGTGCAGATCCAAATACATCAAAATGATACCACTTCAAAGACTGATATAAAAAATGTAAGAATTCGACAAGGTACAATTCAACAGGAGTTGTGGCTCGATACAAACGAAAGCTCCTACAAACCCGTTGTTTTCAAAAGCACAATTTTTTAGTAAGTACTTGGTCAAGGATACTCTTTCCTTAGTTGCAAGGAATGAATCTTAGAGCACGGTCCCAAATCCATCTTCTGCAAAAGCAATTCCAAAGTGAAAAGAAATTAGCAGTGTGTCCACAGAAACTGCATCAATCCTCCTAATCTCCGGAGAGGTGGAGGCCTGACTACTCTCAATTGTATGATTCAATGTAGAACAAGAGATGCACCTCACCCTCGTGAAATTGGAGGTGTCTAACATTGTGCAAAGTCGAGAATTCAGTTGGCTCGAGGGCACCGTGGATGGGACGCTTCAAAACTTGTAGCAATCATAGAAGACTTGCATCTTGAGGTCTATATTGAAGACCATTATATTGTCCAAAGCGTCTTGACAGGGATGTAGTCTACTTAATAAAAGATGGATACGAGATAGAGATTGCAGCCAATAAAAGAGACGTGCTCTTGGCCTAGTACTCGCAAACGATAGGTATACCCGAGCGTTACCACTCACATTCCTTTTACTTCGATAAAGAACTCGGTGAATAACAGAGTTTAAGAGTTGTAGTCGTGACCCTTTATGTAGGCTCAGTCATGTTTAAGGTCATATCCGCAGCTACTCGACTAAACAAACTGGTAGAGTACCAGATTTTTAAAAATTAACTCGATCCTTGGATGCTTGCAACCTTTTGAGAATCTTGTCATTTGCATATTCGAAATAGCAGTTCCGCTCATTAGTGATGTTGTCCAGATTAAACTTATTTCAGTAGCACGCTCAGAGCAAGAAGAGGAGTCCAACCTTGAGAAAACACATTTTTTGAAAACATTAAGATGACAAACACATTTGAATAAAATTCTCACTTTACTTCTGCAATAACAGGCACTTTTGTGTTGCGATCGAGTGCTCTGTTTGACTCCTGAGCTAGATGTATGTACAATTACGGAAATTCTAGACGTCACAACGTCAACTTATGTCAGATGAAGGAAAATAATCTCCAAGACATAGAAAAAAATTGGTGAGTGCTACTAAAGTGCATCACCACCTCCCATCATATATCAAATTTGGAAACCGCTTGAATATAGTGAAAAAGTTAAATCCCATACTGTACAGCATGTTCCCGACAAGTAAAATTCACCACGCCTCTTGTAACACCAACCTGTCACATAAACAGTAGCAGTTTCTTCCTGAACTAAACCAGGCACCAAGTGACTCGATACACCGAATTGAGGCCCCCCAACCAACCTCAAGAAAGTTCCCCGATCAAGTTTCAATCAGCTCCACAGATCTCAGAACAAATATGATCTACATGCATTTGTTCTGTACAAATCGACATTCAACAAAGACCTCACCCACCTCCAAAACAGATAAGAATGCTCAATAACCATCACTTACCGTTAATTGGAAGAGGTCGTGAGGGCAAAGGCCCGTGAGATAAAGGCGACACACATCACGATCGTAGTACTTCCTCTTCACCTCACGCACATCTCCATTGCGATTCGCCCCCATCAAAGCATCCAGCTGCTTTCTGAAGGCGTCCATGGTGACTTCTACTTGAAATTCGATGTTCTACCCCGAAACAGACTTTAAACCCGCCAGAAAGATAGTAGTGGGATGTTACGTTCAGAAAACCTAGAGCAACAGGAGTACGTTAAAACATGTCGAAGAATTATGCGAGGTATACCGGGCGCCTGTCAATGAGAGGTAAGTGATTGGAGCGAGAAGAGGTCGTGCTAACTGTCCGGGATTACGACAGGTTTGCAAAAACTTTTAAACCAGGCACTCAAGGATGACATACGCCGGTTTGTCATTGTAGGGGGTACCAAAATAACAAACGAAGGATCTACCCACTCTGCCTCCGCAGAAAGCGAGGAGTTGTACAAACTCAGGACTTCGAATACCGATTTTTACCCGTCATCGCCAGAAATTCTTTGAAAAAAATTATTTTAAAAAAAAACGAAAATAAATATGAAATCTAGCAAGCCCGCATGGAGAATCAAGCAATACGTCTACGTTAAGAGAAGGAAAAGAAAAATGTGATAACCTCACCGTGTTCTGAAAGAGATCGTGTGAGCATAAGCCAGAAAGAAACAAGCGGCAAACATGTCGTCCATCGTTGTAAGCCCTAGGCGTCTCGACGGCACCCCCGTTTCTATGCGCCCCCATCAAAGCGTCCAACTGCTTCCTCACAGAATCCATTTCTCCTATCGGCAACGCTTTCCTCCTAATCCAAACCTTCCCTGTCTAAAACCTACGATCTTCTTTGCCTTATTTTACCTCGGCCTTCCCATGCCTCCTTCGTCCGAAATCCGGCACCTAAAAGATATCGTCCGCTCTCCTCCAATCATTAGAATCGAACCTCCGCTTCGGCCCCGACTTGCTCTCTCCTCCTGTCCACGGCATCGGCGACGAAGCTGCGACCAACACTCCGATTGATCACTCACTCCATCGACCTCGCTATGGATTTCTCCTCCACAACGTTTTCGACTTCGTTAGGGCTACCCTCTCTGCGTGCGTCCTCTTCCCGCGGCCTAGACTGCGTCAAATTGCCTCCACTTTCGTGCTCGTTAGGGCTGGCTTTCGCTCCTCTCTGTTCGTTCCTATCCGTCCTGTCGCCCAAATCGGTTTCAATTGCGCATTTCCGGCTCTCGTAGACCAAACTTTCTGCTCCTTTTATATCATCTCTATCAAATCTGTGACGAGGAAATTCGACGACTTTCTTTTCTCTCGCAGCGTACATTTCGCGTCCTTCTTCCACCTCTCAGACAGATGTATTTTGATTAATGTCTAGTCTAGTTTATTCGATCCTCACACATGAAAGCGTTCATCTCGGAAGGGATTAAAAACACATCTGATGAATTTATTTCTTTAAAGCTTGTGGTTCATCGTCTCATGCAAAACGAGCATTCGATAACAATCTATTTCACATTTTTCTAAAATTGTCATGAAAAATAATGTAACAGCTTAGTTGAAATTTGATTAAAAAAACTTGGTAATCATTTTTCTCACCTAAATTACTTTGTTACAGAGATGAGGATTACTTCTTGCTACATGCATTTATTGATATCTTCATATTACATATTTTTATTTTAGATGTATATTGTGTTCATGTGACTATTTAACATCCAAAAATAATATACGTGCAGCCATGATTTGATAAGTAAAGTTCATGATAACATATGATATCTCACATAGAGTAAGAAAAGGTTAGTGAGTCTTCTGATCCCCTATGGTCAGGATTTAACTATAATTGGCATGTTTGGATAAATGTTACTATCTTGATGGTCTTTAATAATTCGAATTACAAAAATATGTAAGGGTTCATGTTACAAATTAGACATTGAACACAACGGGGTCGTGTGATGTTGATGTTGAATCGTGGATGTTGAGCTCCAAAATTGCCAAGTAAAATGTTATGTAAAGAGATAAGCATTGAAGTTATATGGAACCATAGGAGTTTGATATATTCACGCTTTGTGACTACGACGAGTTATATCCTGTGGTAGAGCTTGTTCATTTCTTCAACTATAGCATTACTTAGTGTTATAATTAAAGCACCAATAATATATGATGATAGTTTAGATGTTAATATATTTTGAAGCATAAATAAAATATATGTTGGATAATCTAGATGTTATAACAAAGATCGCTTACTTGATAAAATTCAATACCAATGCCAACTCTAGATTTAGTATTGAATCTTTGAGTCAATACTAGATATACATTTAAACTAAAACTACACCTGATCTATGATTTTTATCTGTGCCACTAGTCTAAATTTCTTTGCAGTGTATTCATGATTTATTTGAAGAAAAAAAAAGTTCAAACATTAGGAACAAATCTAAAGAATAAATAAGAATTATGTAAAATATATTTCAAATTTTTGTTACAAAAATTAACTGATGGAGCCCAAATTTTGGTTTTCAAAAAACAAAATTTAGATAATTTTTTATGCACATTTAAAAAGTTCTTATCATGTTGTTTTTTATATCTTAAGAAAATAGCCATAAATTTCAATAATACATGTTATCATTATCATCACTAGACAGCCAGGTAAAATTGGCATAGTTGTGCACATTTTTCTTGGACTTTTCTTGTAGCTTTAGATTTTTTTAATTTTTAAATATTAATGATTCAAAATTTTAAAAAATATCAAATTTAAGATTTTCAGAAAAATCCTCAAGATGGATCTAATAGTTCAAAATGTGTTGTACTTAAAAAAAATTGTTGGACAAGAAAAGAAAATATCACATTAATGATGAGACGCACATTTTAGACATGAAATATACATAAAACAAAAATTTCCTTTTTGTCTTATACATATCTTTTCAACCCAAGAAATACAAAGAAATAAAATAACACTCCCACCATAGATCAATAACATTGTATGTATGTATATATAAATATATTAAATGCGCAATTTTTTTACATGTTTGTCTATTAAACTTACCAAATAACACAATCAATCATTGTTTTTCGCTAAGATGTGATGCTAATATGTCTATTGCATATCATATAATATAATTATATACATATTCAAAGATTTAAGCTTTAGTATCAACACTAAATTAAATGGTTTCAAGAGCATTCACAATTTAAATCAAAATATCATGTTGAATAATTTTAAACTTCATTCTATAAAATATATTTGTCGGTGTAGAACAAGTTAAAGTGATCATTATTTTTTAAAAAAAATAATAAATTGTAATTTTAATATAAAAAATTAAAATTTCATATGACTGAAGAATCATTGGATGATTATGAAACAGATTTTGTGTTATCAAAGGAAATTAATGTTCTAGAAATTTATTCATATTTCCCGAATCATAAGATAAGTATTTTATATATAAATAAATTATATAATATTTGTGTATTCTTAATACTTTTACTTTATGAAATTACCTTTTTTGAAATATAAAAATATATTTACATCAATGTTTAGTAATTTCATATATATATATATTTATATTTATATTTCATTATGAGAAGCTCAAACATTTGATTGTGGAGAGACATATTGGACTATTCATTGGAATGATTTGTTTCCATAGTCATTTTATCATGTTAGCTTAGGTTAATATAAATTGTAGAATCTTCAGTTCAAGCATAGAGCTTATAGATATTAAATTTTACATTTTCACTAGAATTTACCAACAATTCGAAGTTATTTCATATTTTTGTAGAATTTTTTGATAATATTTTAATTACTAAATATTTCAAAATTATTTTACAACATTTAAATGTGTAACAAAATAATCTTTGCACTTGGGGAAATTAGTGAGGTGAAACCTAATGCCTCAATTGCTGCGTGAAAATTTTTTTCTAGACTAATCACTTTATGTACAAATTCATCAAGAATTTTGAATTTTTAAACCAATCAAAAATCAAATTTTAGAATTAACTTTCATGAAAAATATGATCTAATAGTTTAAATGAAAAAAATCAATCAAAAAATATATATTTAATTATTTTTATTTGTAAATCGATTTTTATATAAATTGATAATATATTAAATTTTGCTAAAATTTTGACTTATGAGTTATTTCAATTGAAATTTATTGTTAAAGAACAGAAAATTTTAAATGGTTCACATTTTTTATTATATAATTTATATTTGAGAATTCACACAAATATAATAATTAATTTAATAAGATGTATAAAAAATGCACATGACAAAAAATTTGTAATTCAGTAAATTGTGTTCATCATATTGTTGCATTGAAGATTTGTAAAATAAAATAAAATAAATGCACATATTTGAAATCTTATCAAAATTTAGATATGTACATTTTTTAAGATATTAATAAAATCAATTAGTAAAAAAATAATACAGATAGTTATGAAATTTGAAAATAATTTTCTTAAACATTGCAATGACTTACTTAAAGACTCATTATAATCAAAGATTTTTGGATGAAATTCACTACTCAAATATGATTTGTAAAGATAAATGTAAAATAATTTTGATATAATAGGAAAACTTTGAAAATTAGAATTATTTATATGAAATTGGACTTTACACAATATCAATTAATTAGCTATTTGAAACTTAATTCAATATTAAATTTAATATTTGAAAATAAGCTTAATAAATCAGAGGAAAATATTTTTTTATATTTAAAAAATACATTGAAAACTCAATCAAAATATAAATCATTAAAACCTTATAAGAAATTTAATTTCAAAAGCTCCAATTAATTTCAAAATCTAATTTCAAAATGATTTGATTATACATTTTTTTTTAATTCTAAGTGTCAATTTTTTTTGATTTCATACACAAAAAACTTTAAGTTTGAAATCCTAAAGAGCCAAAGGCTAGCGATAGCGGAGCACGACGCAACAAAAGCGCAACGACGGCTAGTTCGTTTTCTCTACTATGCCCCTCTTTGATTCTGTAATACTTAGATTCTTGTTTAACTTCCACTCTGGTTCTTTTGAGAGGCTTTTTGACAACTTCCATCCATATGGTGCAAAGATTCATGATGAGAAGAGTGAATAGGTCTCGACGTTTATGGGCCAATGATAGAGGGCTTGGGGAACTCGGGTTTTTTGATCAAAACTTACTCGGATCATTCAATGCGAGGGAGTTCAAGGGTCGCATGCAGATGAATGTTTCCACATTCGAGTTCTTGTGTTTCACTCTCGTGCCTTCATTGAAGAGACAAGATACCAACATGTGATCGACTGTACCGGTTCTAGCGAAGGTGATTGTCTCCATCTCAAGATTGGTCACAAGTAACTCCATGCAGAACATTGCGGATTTATATAGGATTGGTCTGTCAACAAGTCAACAAGCTGTCAATAAGTTCACTCATGCTGTGAAATTGCTACTTTTCAAAAAATTCATTTGGTGGACTTCCACCATCACTATGGGTAAACTTGCTAGAGAGTTTGAAGATATTCATGGAATATTATATATGATTGATGCGCTGGATGGTTCTCACATACAAATCGTGCCACGTAGGCTACATGCAGCTGATTGTTACAATCGTAATGGATTTCACTCTATACTATTGTAAGGTGTTGTATCTAGCAAGCGCATATATGAGATTTTGACATAGGATGGACCGGATCCATGCATGACGCTAACCTAAAGAGAAGAACCGCGATTACCAATTTTGCAAAGCTGAAAAACTTGCGCCTTATGTTTTGGTTGGGGATGCAGCCTACCCATGCCGCCCTTGGATGTTAGCCCACTTCAGGTATCACAAAGACGAGTTTACTAGGGAGGAATACAACTTGAACTTTGTTTAGAGTTCCACTCGTATGTGCATTTGGAATGCTCAAGGGTAGGTGGCGAATATTGTTAAAAAGTATTGATGTGCAACTTAAAAACGTGCCTGAGTTGGTGAGTACTTGCCTTGTGCTACATAGCTTACGCATCATCATAGAAGACAACTTCTAAAAAACAAAGTGGTTGCAAGAGGCATCAGACGAAGTGCACAATGGATTGTCACTTATGACACATTTGGAGCCTACAAGACAAAAAAAGCTTGTTGTGGCTAACCATGCTTTACATAGCCCTATTGGAATTGAAGAAAACTTTCGAGAAACATTGGAGTACCTCAAACAAGAGATCACAAGAAAATTCCAAATTTCAAAGACAATGGGAGGTAAAACTGCAAAAGAGTTGTC